GTCTCAACCTTCTTTGGCATCTGAGCCTTTCTGTGGATCTAGGTTTTAACTTAGGTGTGGTATCTTTGGAGAACTGTTGCTTGGAAAGCACTTTGGGAATACTAGTTTCCAGTAAACAATGTATTTTTTTTCCAAATAAACAAATAAAGGCTTGTTTATTGCCATTGTGCCTTTGTTTCTAGAATCTCAGTACCAGTGAAGGTGTAAGTAAAGAGATGCATCATCTGCAGCGCATGTTTCTGCAGAATTGTTGGGAAATTCCTACTTATGGAGCAGCCTTTTTCACAGGACAGATATTCACCAAAGCAAGTTCAAGTAGCCATAAAGTCATCAAAGTATATGTAGGAGTAAATGTAAAAGGGTTGCACCTCCTCAACATGGAAACCAAGGTCAGCTTAATAAATGAACTGCCAATAACAACTGTTAACGTCTCATTCTGTTTTCTTAAATTCTTTGTGCTAATTGTCATTTCACATCAAAGTATTTGGTTAAACTTGACTGTAAAGATTTCCAAGATGTTAAGATCTTTGTAAGGTATTAATAATAGAAAGCCTTGTCTTTTGCCATTTGACTACTTTATCAGCTACCACTGTTCTAAGTCAAAATCCTATGTAAGTGAACAGGGGAAAGTTCAGTTTGTAAGTGTTGAGAATATTTTCTGAGTGATAGTTTTCTACGTTTCACTGTAGGCCTTACTCCTCAGTCTAAAGTACGGTTGCTTTATGTGGCAGTTGGGAGATGGAGATACGTGTTTTCAAATCCACAGTCTGGAAAACAAAATGAGCTTTATTGTGCATACCAAACAGGTAAGCATTGACAAAATTTACTTTACAGAATTTTCTGAGACAGTAAGCTTTCAGTTATCTTTGACTCAGCGAAAATAAAGCATATTTTAAATGTAACTTGAAGTGTGGGGAGGGAGGGTTTTTTTTTTTGTGAAATGTCATTGATTATTTAAATCTAGATTTTTTTCGTTTTGTGTTGAGAATTGTACCTTACGGGACTCTAATCAGTTGCTTAAAAAATCCTATTTATAAGATTACCCTCATTGAACATGTTTACTCTGTATGCTTGGAGTTGGGTCACTTGTCATGCTTTATTTAAGTAATTCTTCCTAAGCTAGATTTATGCCTCTTCTCTCTTGAGACTGACCACCCATGTACAGTTTAAAAAATGCCTAAGCCAAGTCCTCAGAAATACAATTTTAAAATGAGAATTTTTTATTTAATATTTCAGAATGTTTGCTTGTTTTCCTAGCATGTGAAGCCTTTAGGGTTCATAATACGTGAAATGTATCCATATCGGGAGGGAAAAAAAGTGTAATGAAAATTGTTTGTTCCACTATAATACATTTCTTGCATAATTATGCATTAACTGTCCTCAGACTCCAAGGATAAATCCAAATATGACAAGAATTACAAAGTTACATATTTGCTAACTTGGCAATTAAAACTAGAGGAGGTTGGGAAACTGAAGATCTGTGTTATAAAGCAACTTCACAGTAATTGCTACCAGCAGCTTTGTTTGACAGGGCTTTGTGTATGCTAGATGGAAAATGCTTGTTCTACCTCCAGCCAACATCAGTGGTAATATGTTAAGTTATGGTAAAGTGTTTTGTGATGAGATTACAGCTTTGAGCATCTTACATACTTTGGCAGAAGTTGTTCATCTGATTGTTCCATGTTAAAGTGCTTGTGGGGGGGAGAAGCAGTTGAATATTTGTAAAATCACTTTCTGATGTATGATAAAAGCCTAGGCACGGTTTTCATTTTCCTTATTTCTAAGATGATGTAACTTTTGAAATTATTCAATTATTTGCTTTCTACTTGCATTTGCCATATTTTTAAGTTGATTGTGTCTGTTTTATTTGTGAAATGCTGATAGAATTTAATTGCATACCTTTATACAGGCAGGTCTCGTCGTAAAACTTCTGATGAAATTAAATGGCCAGTTAATGCCTAGTGAAAGAAATGAATGATGGAGATGGACAGTGGTTACGGAACAGCATCTTGTGGTTAAGCAAAAGTAACTTTATTCCTGTCGTAACAGAAAACTTTCATGTATGTGAGTTCTACAGACTGGAAAAGTAAATTTGTACAGTTTTTTTAACTTTGTACAGAAGCTGCATGGTTTATTTTTTTAAAAAAGTATACAATATTTTAATTATTTTTATAAATATATTTTGTTTCATACATAAGCTATTGTAGGGCTTGAGCTGAACCAGTAAAGCTAATGAAATGAAAATGGTTTAGCAATTTGGGCAAGAATGAAGCAAATAAAGACTTTGTTCCCAGGAGATTATGGGATTACCAGTGCCATCAGGCAAGTCTCCCTTAACCTATTACTAACTTTTCATGTCATTCTGTGGAATGCCAAGGAGGTGGTATATGCTACAGTACTTTGTAGACAAACTTTATTTTTAAGATACTGCTGATAAGTATGCTTAGAAGACCAGTTAGTCCTTTGAGCAACCACCTTTGATAAACTCTGGGTTTTTTTTGGTTTCTGATAAACTGATAGCTGACTTTATTTTTACTCTTAACTTTCTCATACTGAAAATTTTGTACTCCTATTTATTCTAAAACATTGCATGAGGATGACGAAAGAGAAATACTCTAAATCATTCAGAAGCCTTATTAAATGTTTAACATACTTGTTTTAAAATAACAGGATTTTGATTTTTGCTGCGCAATATAAAACATTTGTATGTGAAGAAGGGGGAGGATAAAGACTTACAAATAAATCTTATTCAGAGGACTTCAGAAAGTTTAATAAATCTTATCCTGTATTGCAGCGCATAGCAAGTAACGTTCATGTGGGAGGTACTAAGTTATTTCTGTAAAACTAATTTTCCTAGTCATCCCTTAAAATTTAAGTTTCTTGAGACTCCAGACAATACAGGATGCAGGAATGAAGATTTATAATGGAAGGAAGTCAAACACAGTTTATAAGCGTTCTGCCCGGTCTTTGCAGAGTCAGGACTGGGTCTTAACGAGTTGCATCCTAAGTGGGACCATCGCTTTATTTCCTAACAGTTCAGAACGTTTTATTTTAGGTCTTGTGTTTGAAAAGATTTGCATATTGATTCTGACTTGCATTCAGGCAAGTCTTAATCCATTTCTAAAAACATACATTTTTCTTAGTGTGCCTAACTAAAAGGAAAACTATGCAATCGGAAGGTTGAAAAACATCTTAATGTTTTCTCCTCCCACCAAAGGATGGTATGAACTGTCTCTGTGGAGTTTGAAACATATGCTTGTACCTTAAAATACTATCCATGCAGCAAATCTTGAAAACCTCTGGTTGTATTTCAGAGTTTTAACTGCATTTGACTCTTCCTTCCTTGTAAACTGCATGCTAAGCGTGTGCAATGTTTTGTAGAGAAGTAAAACAATATTAGCACTTGCCTCTAAGTTTTCAAATGAAAGTTATTAGACACGTGTTAGGAACTATGCTGTTTTGTAGTATCTTAATGTTTGCATTTAAACTTCTCAAATAGTAAGTACAGTTTAAGAAATTATAGTAGTAAGCAATTTTTTCTTAAATTAACAGGAAACGATTTGTGATCTTAGCAAGCTGTACTTTGCTACTCAAACTTCATTGGCGGGTAATAACAGTAAATCTTCATGGATTATTATATTTTATTTGTAGTAAATGCAGCAGTTATGTCCTTCATAGTGCATCCTTGCTATCACTTGGCACTGGTATCAGAAACATGCTTCTACACATAGCACTTTGTTAGAAAACTAGAGGAAAAATGTTGAAATGTGTAGGTGTCACAGTTGCATGTTTAACAACAGTATTAATATGCCTCATTGCTGTATATTTCTTTTTGTTAGTATTCTTATTTATTGCTACCTAATAAATTGTTTGCCACAATAGTCACATTGTTTTGAGATCGTCGCATTGTTTTAATTACTACAGCCAGTATGAAAGTGTCATCAAATGATTTTATGCTATTACCAAAGAAGAGTATTTTGTAACACGCTCATCTTTGCAAGTTCTGTAGGAGGATCCTTGTGGGAGATGACTAGAGGGGTAGGCTTCCATGCTGACTACAACTTAAGATACTCTGGGCGCTTTGCTTTGCACCTTGGAAACCACTGGGGGATTGGTCGGGGCACTAAAAGCCGTTAGTCATGGCAAACGAGAAGTTTGCAGATGCAGACCCGGGAGGGTGGGAGCTTCCCCAGCGCTGCTGTGAGGACGAAGGTGAGCGCAAGCCCTCCGCAGAGAAGCGGAGTAACCCACAACAGGAACAGGGAGAAGGCTGATCGCCTAGAGAGAGGCCGCTAGTAACAATTATTGTATCCATACCAAACAAAGTTCAAAAAGAGCTGCAAAAACGATACAAGTCTGAAGACAATGCTTTTATAAGCAGGAGATACCTAGCTCTACTCATTTAGCTTACCTAGAAGGATTTTTGTTTTTTGTTTTTTTTAAAAGGTCAGTCTAAAAGACGCGACAGCAGCATACTTCAGGTGGGCAGAGTAAGCCAAAATAGGAGCTGAACAGTGAAATCTGAAAAACAACAGGCAGAACATTAAACTGAGCCATTTGCTGATGGGATGGGTTTTCGACTCTAACTGCAGGCCCCGCAATCACCCAGGATTTCAACCTCGCACTGGCTGCCCTTCTCTGTGGGAAAAGCCTGCTACCGGCACTGATTTGAGATTTAGCCATAGACCGAAGGGCTGCAGAAATGAAATTATCCATAAATTGCTCTCCGGCCTTAAACTCGCGGCCTGCGTCACGTTCGCCGCTTCGCGCCCTGGCAGCGGTGCGCGAGGCTGCGCGGGGCGAGCGCCTCCCCCG